TGATCAAAGAAATCGCGATAGGTTTTTTTTGTCCATATCGCACAGCCCTAATATATATATATATATATATATATATATTCATATATATACAAAAAGTGTTCAGTCTGCCTTTGGAGGTGGATATGGAGCTAAAGAGATTTAAGGTTTTTTTTTTTCCAATTATTTTTAACTTTGTGTGTATGTTTTTTCCACTCAAGCTATTTTAAAAGATCTTCCCATAGATGTAGAACAGCAGGATGGCCAGAGAATTGGTAGCACAGTGTTTCTCAGACTTAGGAAATGTTTTATGAGCCCCTGAGACAAATGCAGAACATCTGACTTGAGTTTCCTTGTGAGTGTGGTTGGATTATACTCTTCCTGCTCTTGGTGACAGTGATGGCGTTTACTGCTCTTCTCAAATCTTTACTTAAAGAGCAGTGAATTTCATTTATATTTCAGCTGATTCTGATTTAATCAGTTGTGGTGCTTGTTCTAGCTTGTAATGCATTTAGCACAAACTGTTCAGGTTATACTCTAATATTTAAGTTTTACTTTTCTAGCAGTCTTGCTTAATATGATCCCATTAAATCTATGCCTCGGTTTATTTCCCTAACCCACACAGCCCTGTTTTCCTCATGCCCTTCACCTAACCAATCAAAGTCTGACGTTTTGACAGCTAAGAGGGTTTGGTTTGTATATAGACACGAATGAACACATATTCAGCCACAAGAACATCAGAATCACTCCAACACTGTGATCTAGAAACTTGCTTGAAATTTGTAAAAATGCCAAAAATGCTTGTGTGCACCACGTCTACATAAATACTGGTTATCATGCTGTTTTCCATCATTTGGTTATCATTTGATGAATTACTGATACTATACAGCTGTAAAACTGTGATATAATCCTATGACTTTTGACTAGTATTTATAAAGCAGAATAAACCATGAATATAAGTTTATTTTATTTTATTTTACCCACTAGGCACATAGAAATTTTTTAGGGATGCCCATACACAAATCTGCATATGCATTCCTCTGTTTCCTTTGTGTCTGTATTTATCTTAATAAAAATGAAACATTGAGCTCATAATTGCATTATTAGGCCCATGCAGGCTCATTGACCATGCTCTGTCTGTGCGTGTTTGTAGACGCTTTGCTTTTTGCTAAAATTACAGGGCTCTCTTTGAAAGCTGAGGCATTACGATGTGGCACTGACTCATTTCCTATGATCATAAATTATACGGACAGCAGAAAATTACATGTGTCAGTGCAGTGGTATCGACACATGTTGGCATGCCAGAAAGAAGGCCCGGGTAGTTATTATCCCAGACGAGGGCTGCCTTATGACATAGTCATGTAAAAATCATCACAATGAGTCATATGAAGTGGGAAAAGCCCAGTCCTATAGTCATGGGATGTACTGGAGTGAACTTTGTTGTGTTTGACTTGACCAAGACACAGAGGCTGTGGAAATCCCACTTCTGTGTGATGTCAGAGTGAAAGTGTGCTCTCAGCGCAAAAGCACAATAGAGTCGGGACAGCTGGGTATCATAGCCCTGGGACTGTCACACCCTGCTGTTCTCCTCTCTTCTCCGGGCTGGAACAGTTAGAGCATATGGAGGCAAAAGTCATCAGATTTCTTTACAGCAGGAAATGCAAAGGTACTGTTGATTCTTGGACATTCTCAGGTTTTTTTCTCATCACTCGTGACACTGGTTTGACAGCTAACTCAAGACTTGCCATCAATACATCAACTGAAATGTGATCCTGCAGCTGTAAACGATGAAATAGGTGCTAGTTTATAGTTTTTAATGTTTGGATGAAGGACTTTGCATTGCTTTGAATAATTGAACTGCTATACAACTGCTAAATTAGATGGCTCTGCTGTATCGTATCATGTTTTTATTTATTTATTTTTTTTATTTCAGTATGCAGGACAAGTAGGTCCATCCATAGTTCCAGGCTTCCCAAGAGCTCACGTTAAAATCGTAATTCAATATTTCAATAGGCTGTCGGGATTGAGTGGAGTAAATTAATTTGGAGCTATGCTTGAGTGCTCGGCGGATGTTGGACAGGGAGAAAGAGAGACAGAGAGAGATGCAATGGAAATAAAAAGTGATAAGAATGGATAAACTCTCTGAAGATGTGTGTGTGTGCGCGTGATGGACCTCTGCAAAAAGATCTCCTGATATTCATTGTTCTTCTGTCTATTGAAAAATGTTAATGCACCACTTTACTTAATGATAATCATAAAACCAGTTCTTTGAAACATTGTTTTTTTTGCATAGAAGGTTGAAATGTCTCTTCACCAGCTATTTTTGACTTTGTTTTGAGGAACTAGACTGGAGCCGCATAAACTAGATTGTGAAATGTGGATGATTTTTTTTCCCCCTGGATTAGAGGATGATCATGTAGTGAGAAGTCCTAGATTAAATATGTGGAATTCTTTCTGTTTAATTGAGTTTTAATTGAGTCGAATAGTAATGGTAAAAAGCACTTTTTAAAATTTGTTGCATTTGCAAACAATGTCCAAAATGAGCTTACCAGGTATACATATTTCTCGATTAGGGGTGTGCGATATTGACAAAAAATAATATCTCGATATTTTCTGGGATTTTATCGATGACGATAATTAGACGATATTTTGCTGAGTGTGTTATTGTGCTGGTACCTTAAGGACTGCCGAAGACAGCTGACTCATAATGTTTTTAATATTCTTCATATTCTGTGTGGTGGTCAGTTCATACTGATAGAAATTAATCTTTTCCAATAAGTTTAAACAGATTTTTACATTTTATGGGCATTTTTACCTTTATAAAATGTCACATTCTTACATATAATCAGGGAATTAGAATAATAAGACATTTGGGCTGTTACCAAGCAAATGAAATCAACACAGAAGCTGCATCTGAAGTGGCATTTAGATGTATTTACACACATGTATTTTGTTTAATGCAAGACATGAATGCATTTAACCTGCAATTACAAATGCATAAATAATGTTTTGATATATTAAACATAAAACGTTGAATACTGATATTTGAAATTATTTAAAACATGAAAAAAATCTATTAAAAAAAAAGAAAAAGCCGAAATTTTTTAAAACAACAATTACGATATTATCGCAGACGATATATATCGCACACCCCTATTCTCGATTGTGCATTTTATAAAGAAATCCATATTTCCCTCTTACAAAAAATAAGTTAGATGCTTTTAGTTGTCAAATTACAAGAAAAAAAATTGACATGATTTTGTTCAGGGATTGTTGAGTGTGATTTTGGTGGCTTAAGGTGTACCTTTAAATTGAACAAAAGTGACAGTACAGGCTTTACATTGTTACATAAATTCTGTTTCAAATAAATGCTGTTCTTTTGAGCTTCATATTCATCAAAGAATACTGAAAAAATGTCATGGTTACCACAAATTTTTTTTTAAACATTGGTAATTTATAATGATTACTGAAGGATCATGTGACACTGAAGACACTGCTGAAAATTCTATTGTGCCATCACAGAAATAAATTGCATTTAAAAATGTATTACAGTGGAAAAGTAATTTTGATTGTAATAATTAACAGTAATTACTGTATTTACCATATTTTCTATTAAATACATGCAGCCGTTAGAGACGTCAAAAACACTCAAAAAATCATACCAACCCCAAACTTTTAAATGTTAGTGTATAGATAGATGATGGCATTTAGTTTGCGTTTTTCAGTAATTCTCCAAAATTTCCAGGTGGTTCTGAACACTTTTAGAATGCATAACCAGAGTGGGAAGTTCTGTAATAACTCTGTTTCTTCTTCTCCTCCTCTGATTGGCAGAGATCCGAGCTCAGTTGGTGGAGCAGCTTAAGTGTTTGGACCAGCAATGCGAGCTCCGCGTGCAGCTCCTGCAAGACCTGCAGGACTTCTTCCGCAAGAAGGCAGAGATCGAGATGGACTACTCCCGCAACCTAGAGAAACTTGCAGAGAGGTTCCTGGCCAAGACACGCTACACAAAGGACCCTCAATTCAAGTAATAGAACATTTGGCCGTGTTTCCAGCTGATACATCATAGTCCTGTGATCCGTGCCATTACCTGGGCACAGTTTGAAATCAATACGTTTATTTTTTCTCTTCTCACACTCTTCTGATTACATAAGTGCTGTTTTGCAGTGAAAGTTGAGACGGTTGAGTAAACTCTCACCAAGGTCATGTGATATCCAGTCAACACTTCCCTTTAGGCTTATTCAAAATAATTTCATTCAAATCTTTGGTAACAACTCATAACCATCATATTTTAGCGTGTAGGCTTAAACAGAGTCTCCTTATTTGTCAGAATGATGATGAATCAGCTTTTGACAATGTAAAAACTGTTTTACAGTCTTTTGAGGCTTTCACAAGACCCCGCTGTTATATAAGAGGCTTGTCTCATATCTCTGATGAGATAGCAGCAGGGATTTTGATCGTGGAATAAAGTCAAACATTTTCTTCGAAGTCCTTGGTTCTGCTCCAGTGACCCATATTTGATCCTGATTCTGTAGCGGTTAGAGTTATTATGCCGTATTATGAAGAAACAGCTGGTGTAACGTTAAGAAAAGCAAGTAAAGTGGAGCATTTATGTTCTTACTCAAGCTATAAATGTTTATTTTATCCTGTCTGATTGACTGCATTAGTTTATAATGCTAATTTTATTGTTTAGCGTGAAACAAAACAAGCTTTTGAATGCCCTAATGTCATTTTTATACATTTTATACTTTTTAAAGCTTAGTTGCATAGAAAGGCAAGTGGCAATTATGCTGAAGACCTTGCATTAAATTAATGCAGGTTTCCCGATACTTACTAGCGAGCTTTGAGAATGATGCAGTCTCACTGCAGTCATTATGACAGGATATGCTGTCAAAGAGCCTATTAATCAGTGTTATATACTGTCTAAACGGATCTCTGTGGTTAGATGCTTGGATCCTGTTGGATTCAGTTTGATCTTGTGAGGATGTGGTAGCCTCATCCTCAAAGAATAACAAAGAAAAGCTTAAAGACCAACTAAAAGTTAAAGTTTGAAGTGTACTTCCTTGCCCTGGCTTATGTGTGAATTATGAGTCTGTATGTCTTGTTAATTGAAGCAGTATTTGATGAGAACCTTTATGACGGTAACAATAATGTCTTCCCGACCGCTATAAAGCAAAAATTGTGCTTGCGTTAACATTTATCAAGGTGCTTTTGTAACTCCCAACGGCCTGTATTTGCAGTGACACATTGTCAACATTGTTGTTTTCCAGGGTCTAGTATGCGTACCTTGACAGGTTTCTTTCTGGCAGTTTTGCCCCAGGCACTGTTTTGACAGGGGATATCCAGTGCTTGAACTTTTCCTTTATTTCATTGTTTCTTTCATTTTCCACCTTGTCATGTGCTTCTCTTTGCTCCTTCCCTTTTTCACTCTCTGTCTTTTCACGTTATTTTGCTCTTTGTATTTGCACTTGACTCTTCGGTTCCTAATATAATGGTTTGAGTGCTAGAGGCTGGGTCTGGGAAAGTCAACATACGGCTCTCTGACAGCTTCTAGAAATAATCAATAGATAACACATGTTTTTTTGAGAGCAGTTTTGTGTGACAGCTCTGTGCTCTATCAGACCATGGTGCACATGAGACCCCTGTGTACCTTAGACCCTGGGGGAGGTTCAGTTTCAAATGTAGACCTATGCTCTAGTGCAGGGGTCACCAGACTCGGTCCTGGAGGGCCGGTGTCCTGCAGAGTTTAGCTCCAACCCTAATTAAACACACCTGAACCAGCTAATCAAGGTTTTACTAGGTATACTTGAAACTTCCAGGCAGGTGTGTTGAGGCAAGTTGGAGCTAAACTCTTCAGGACACTGGCCCTCTAGGATTAAGTTTGGTGACCTCTGCTCTAGTGTAATAATAATTTTTGGTCAACAGCAATATATGTCATAATGTAGACATTTTATAGAATAATTATTAAGAAATTACTGAAAAAAGCTAAATAAGATATTAATTGTAATAATAGTGATGAAAATAAACTATTCAATTATTATATTTTTAGTTGAACATTTTAAACACATTTGTCAAAAATTATAAAAAATGACTCAATGACAAAATATTGAACGAATGAAGTCAAAATAAAATGTATTAATATTAATCAATAATAATAATAATAATAAAACAGAGATTATATTTGTTATTTTTATTTGAACAATTATATAAATAAAAAACAAATTTTATGTAAAAAAAAAAGGTTCCTGAAAAATATAGAAATAATGAAATAATAAGCAAACAGTAATAATTAATTATGATCAGTAACAATAATTGTAATCAATAATAATAATAATAATAATATTACATTACTATTGGATAATTCAAATTTATAAATTGTAATTTTTATTTGAACTGTTATCTATCAAAAATAAGGGTCATTGACATATAAGGATTTTCGACAGGCAAATTTTAAAATACAAAAAATAATAATATCTTTTGTAGTTGTTCAAACATTAACAATGTTGTGTACACATACATTCATATTAAAATTTTAAATCAAGTGATTTTAGTGTTTTTTCATCTAGGTGAATCAGCCGTAGCCATAAAAAATGTCATGTGGTGCGACCATGATTTATATGAAAATTAATTCATTTCCTTAACATGCTTAACATATTTTTAAGAGGTTCTCAGTAATTAAAGTATTTAGAAAAAAAGTATTTGTGTTTCTTTTGAGTTTTTCTAAATAATGATCTCATATTTTTGTTCTATAATTTCAGAGTTGTTTAATTTGATAGTTTCAGAGACTTATTTTTTCTGTTAATTGCATAAAACTGATAAAACATTTTAAAAATACCATTCACTTAAGTATACTGTAGCAGTGATTCATATTTCAGCCACAGAAATTAGATAATGTATTTTTAATTTAATACAATTATTGCTATTATTGGTTGCACCACATGATGAGTGGTTCCTCCAAATGACAGAAAGACCTTATATCATTAAAAATCTATTTAAAGAAAGTTTGAAAAGTGCAGCACATGGCATTAACTGCAGTCATTTTTTTAGACCCAGTTATTTCTAAACTTTGCCCAATCTTGGCTGCTCAATTGACCCTTCGCTGGGAGTTGATTAACAGGCAATCTGAGCAATCATAATGCCAAATCTGCCATTTTTGTCTGACAAACAAACCAGACAGCAGAGTAGATTAACGTCGATGGACTTGAACTTGAAAAATAGTGTGTATTGACATCTTTTCACAGTTGAAACAAGATACCTTCTTTTTAAGATTTTACAATCTTAAGCATTAAGAAAACTTCTCCATCATGTATTTTGCTCTCTTTTGCTTGCATTTCCTCTCTGAGAACTTGTTTCTTCATTTTAACATAATTTATTGTGCTGGTCTCTCGATTTCCTCATAGCTTTTACTTTTTCTTCCACATTAGACCCGCATTACACCATCTCTTTCTCTGAGCACCCCCTCACTACACCAAATCTGCAGTAACCCCTGCTAATGTCCTCCCTGATACCAGTGACCCCCGCTGAGATAGATTTTCTAATCGGCTCGTAATCTCATCCAGTCTAAATACCATCCCCTGCCCTCCGTGGGTCCCTTGAGCCCCTGGAATCCAGCTCCAACATCTGTATGTTTTGCAGGCAAAAGGCAACATCTGGGACGATGTTGCCACAAAGGAATGTGAGGTATTTTCCGGTTCCGCTCCTCAAGAAGAACGTAGCTGTCGGTGAGGCCCGACCTACGAACTGAGGGGCATCTATGGGAATCTTTTGGAGACCCCTGATATACTGCTTATGTTCTTACAGGGTAGAGTTCAACTCAATGCCTTACGTTCTACCACTCAAAGGTTCCTCAAAGGCTCCTCTATGTGTGGTATGACAGTGTGCGTCATTTGTTCAGCAAGCCAGCAGGAGGCCCGATGACGAGTTGCCCGGCAATGAATCGACAGCATGGTTAAGAAACACGCGGTCTGGAATGATAACACGCCATGGTACTGACCGAATTTCTAGCATGCCTGATTTTCTACAAATGGATTGAGTTGATACAAAGAAGCAACTGAAACTCACCACAATGTCTGGACTCATGACAGATAAGAAGGGTGGTGGTTACACTGGTGCCACAGAGGAGCGGTGATGTGTCATATGCTTAATGGTCCACTCTGCAATTACACTACAAACCAATTCTCAACGTTTCCCCCCTAGTGGTTATGGTCAGTGGTGGTTTCATCATTTCAAAGTTTTTAAAACGTTGTCATATGGTGTTTCCACGCTTCCTGAATTTCGTAGTCTGACATTTTAGTCCAGTGTTATCCAATCCTGTACAAAGAGGGCCACCTTCCTGCAAAGTTTAGCTCCAACCTGATCCAAAACACCTTTCTGGAAGTGTCTAGTAACCTGTAAGAACTTAATTAGCTTGTTCAGGTTTATTTAAATAAACCCTGCATTAATGGCACATTCAAGTCCTCTTGTATTTGAGTTGAGAAGTTGTAATTACAACGTCAGGTGCATTCAAGTTACTTTGGCGATGTACCTTTTCTACAGCAAGATTTTTATCTCTATTTCTTCAAAATGATGTATAAAGAATATGCAGGAGGTGCTTTTTATGGTTTTATTGAATTTATGAAGGTGCTGTAAAGTAAATTCTTGTACATTCTATCATAATGGTACAATACTATCATATATTGTACATTCAACTTAGCTGGTTTTATTCTAAATTAATTTTTTAAATGTAATTTAGTATATTTAAACAAATTTACCGTCAACTACAGAAATCAACAATTTTACTGACACTGGACTGGACACCCTTGTTTGTCTTTTGGTCAATAAACTTTGTCTACTTTAGACTTCAATATACAAGTGTTATAATGTTGCCTGTTTTGCAGTATCCTGTGCCACGATAACTCCCAGCCCATTTGTGAGGAGCTCAGGGTTAGTTGACTAGAGGAAGTGAGTCCGTCTGGTCTGGTGTGTTTGCCTATTCTTCATAAGTGTGTGACAGTAAGAGAAAGCAGGCAAGGCAAGTTTCATTTCCTC